GCTCTGGTTACTATTCCCTTGTTTACTCTTATTGCGCTTAAGTGTGGATGGATTCCACCCTTATAAGTCTACTCGGTTTTTTGAACAATTTCTTTTCTTACGCTTCGATATCTAGTCCAACATGTTCGGTTAGCCTTCGCGATCATAGGTGGGATCACCTTATAAGTAGCAAGACAGCAAGTAGTAGAATGCACTTATTAGTCCACACAATCTTTTGGTCGGAAAGAAAATACTTGTTCATGTCTGTTAAGGACTGTATAGGTCATTTAGCTCAGAAACTATTTATACCATTACTATTGTACAAGAGTTGTCAGAACAGATCATCATGTATACCCAAATGAAAGACAGCAACAACACCTAATTCAAGTAAATGAAGGCATATACAATTTGTAACAATATTTTCAGTCGATTCCTAGTATCTATCTTGTGAGAACTGAGTGTACCGAACATATAACCAGTAGTTCCACCACTTCATCAGATTTTAGCTGATGCTGGGCTGACCGGCATCGAGAAGGTGGATTACAAGAACGGTCAAAAACTCCGCTGTTCTCCTTTTGCTGGTCTCCGAACTGCCATGGGTTCCCCTCAGTAACTACACGGGTTCTGGTCGGTCTCTAACTTTTCTACTGCTCCATATGCGTCCAAATCCAACACAACATGCTACTGTCGCAAACAGTCTATAAAAAGAGTTTCACAGTTGAAATCCGCAGGCAGTGTCTGAACTCACAGCGTGATTGAGAGCACGAGAGTAAGCAACACAGCTGAGGGTTGAAAATTGTACTTTCGTCTCGATTTCGGTTCGATCTTGACCCCGTCTTGCCCGACGATCGTCACCGTAGCCACTTGCCTGGCTAATTGATCGTTACCGGCCCAGAGTTCGCAAGCATACACACCAAAGTCATCCATTTGTACCTGCAATTCGGAAATTTCATACTGAAAAAATGATAAATAGTTTGATAATCACCTTCTTGATGGCTAGTATCTGTCCCTGTGCTTTCAGCGATACACGGTCTCCGTCTACAAAAAGGGGCTCTCCATTTAATGTCCATTCCTAAAAATTTAAGTGTTATTTGCCAGTGGCTTTTTTGCATTGAGGTACCATAGTGGCATAATACCCTCTGACCAAATTAGCGCCTGGAGTGCGGGGCTTTGAACGCTTGGAGATCGCGTACGCAAGGGAGGTGCAGAGCGTGCATCGTTTAGCCTTACGTGCTCTCTAAGCGGTCGAAGCCCCGCCCTTCAGCTGCCAATCCGATTGAATCAGTGGGTATGTGCCATAGTCATCGAAAAGTATCACATCTAGCACAAGAAA